AAGTGTCCTACCAACTGGAACTAAACGGTTAGACCAATAGTATACTAGAAGTAAGTGTCCTACCAACTGAACTAAACGGTTAGACCACTAGTATACTAGAAGTAAGTGCCCTACCAATGAACTAAACAGTTAAACCACTAGGAATTTCTCGTTAGACACTTCTTAACTTCTACAAATGAATCTCGTTAAGTGCCGCGCGATTAGGTAAGTGTGAGCCAAAGTGCGTGACGAACTACAGCCCAAGCATTGAAGATCACATTTCATGCGTGAATAATAAAACGTTTTATTATTTGTGTGATGTTTAAAGGGTGGGGGAGCATACCAGATATTACTAACCATTAACCATCTATTGTTTTGTACCAGCAACCCTTCTGTAAACTGGCCGTGCAATTATATGAATCTGTTGAAACAGGTCAGTCTTAGAGAGAAGTTCGAAAAATAAATAAATACGTGTTCTAAGTTCAAAAAAAATATTACAAATTACTCTTGATTTTATGATGATCGTTATCAGTGCTGACGAATTGAAGCGCCATCTCTTGGCGTTTTTTCATTTGAAAAATGTCTGTGCATTCTTGTTTGAAAAATAAACACGCAGGAACTGAATCGAGAGATTTAATTTGGTAAGGCAAGTAACCAACTATTTAAAATAATGAAACAATAGATGAAGATATATGAAAATATTGTTAGTGAAGTAAAATTAAAACAATATATTGTTACTGTAGTAAAATTAAGACAATATATTGTTACTGAAGTAAAATTAAGACAATATATTGTTACTGAAGTAAAATTAAGACAATATATTGTTACTGTAGTAAAATTAAAACAATATATTGTTACTGTAGTAAAATTAAAACAATATATTGTTACTGAAGTAAAATTCAGACAATATATTGTTACTGAAGTAAAATTAAGACAACATATTGGTTATCAGTAAAATTCAGACAATATATTGTTTATCAAGTAAAATTAAGACAACATATTGTTTATCAGTAAAATTCAGACAATATATTGTTTATCAAGTAAAATTAAGACAA